CACTAAGCAGCACAATGTTTTTTTCAACATTGATAATAAGAAATACAAAAGATTTCTGTTTCAAATAAATGCTAGTTTTTAACTTTTTATTGACCAAAATATCAGGGAAAAATGGTTTTTCACAAAAAATATTAAGCAACACAGTTGTTTTCAGCATTAATAATCAGAAATGTTTCTTGAGCAGTAAATCAGCATAGAATGATTTCTGAAGCATCATGTGACACTGAAGACTGGAGCGATGATGCTGAAAAATCAGCACAGGAATAAAATACATTTTTAAGTATATTCAAACAGAAAACTGTTATTTTAAATTGTAATAATATTTCACAATATTACTGATTTTACTGGAATAATTTTGATCAGAGAAATACAGCTTTGGTGTGCATAAGAGACTTCTTACTGACCCCAAATGTTATAACGGTAGTGCTCCAAAGAGAAAGGAAAAATTGAAATCGCATCATATGACCCCTTTAAAATATTTTTCTGTCCCGCCTCTCACACCATGTTTTTCTGCATCTTTGCAGGTACGTGTCTGCTCTGACCACGCCGGCGCATCTATCTCCGGTGGACTTTCACTCCTCACTGCCCCCGCAGGTGCCTACCTTTCAGATCACCACACCCAACGCCAACCACGCCCTCTCCCTGCCGCCCGCCGCCTCTGCCATCGCCATGGCGGCCTACTCGCCCGACGATGACCAGCCCCTCCTGCACCGCTACCGCCGATCCCGACGCCCATATTATGCGGCGGAGAGCACGGGCTCCCTGCCGTCCAGCCCGTACCGCTTTGTGGATGATGAGGATTATGAGACCACGCAGGAGTACATGTCCTCCCGAGAGCAGCCGAAGAAGAGCAGCAGTGGCCGCCGTTGGCGCAGAAGATCGCGGGTCAACGGCCACGTGTCGCAGCGTACACCGGGCCCCAGGAACTACAGCTCTCAAAGCTGCCTGTCGGACAGTGAGTGGGAGGACGATGTGGTTGGCGACCTCGGCCACGGCGAAAGCACGCCGTTTCTCAGTATGCAGAACATGAATGCCACAGAACCGGCCACCATCTACCGACCCAACGACACGCGGACTTTCAGCAACACGGGACGCTCGGGCTCCCGTGGCAACGTGCAGGCCAACAAACTGTCGCAGTCGCGGTCCAGACCGGACAATGCACCCCTTTAAAAAAGAACAATAAGAGCAAGGACGAACAAACTTGCATAGGCGCGAAAAACAAATGATATGCTATAGACCTGCACCTATGAGAAATATTTTTTATTTTGTATAACAGACAGATATTCTAAACAAATGAAATATTTATTTTCATTTCAGCAAAAATTGTCTACTAGCTAGCAGCAAAGACTTTTTTTATAGGGGGAAAACTATTTATATGTAATTCCTTTTTTTTATTATTTACAGCATTACGAAGAAGAATTACGTGCCAATTTTTTCACAAGCTAGAAATAGAATAATATTGTGGTGCCTTTTGCTGTTTGCCGACGAGGGAGGTTCAGTTGAATTTTTGTAGCCTTTCTTAAAAACAGACTCTTGGGTTTTATAGACACGTTTTCCTGGTTTTTCTTTGTTCGTTAGTTTCATTTCTTCAGGATCTCCCCATTTGAACTGTGATATTATTCAGACACCATGCAATATCGAATCACTTCTGTGTAAGGTGTTTGTTTACATGATTAGGATTCACGCGCACACATAACCGACGTTAAATTGCATCGGATGCCGATTCGTTCGAGCATTCGATCGCCGTTTGTGTTCGACTTTAGTTTCTACGTTTTCTTTTCTCTCAATTGGTTGTTGCATATTGTTTCCATGGAAACAGAGGTACGCAGGAGTTCACAGGGCATGACGCTGGGTCGCAGTATCGGCCCTGGTGTTCAGGGTTATCAAAACGGTGGTCTGTGCGTCCAATGAATGTGTTTACACTTCTGTCCGTGTGCGTGAGAGTATCGTTGAACCTCAGTGTATACGTACGTGTCTTTGTGTACGCAGTTTCGTGCGAGAACGCGTTTCATTCGTGCGTTCGCGTTGTGTTCGTCTTCAGGTTAACGTTTCGAGCGCGTGTGCGTGTTGTGAGTTTCGACATGCGCCTGTGTGTGTATACGTATGCTTGTACTTTTTTTAGGATGTTGGCTTTGTCGAAAGGGAGCTCTATTACGTCACCAGGTTATCGCTAAATGGTTAAAACGTTAAACCCCCTAGTGGTGACACGAGCTCATTGCACTGTAACCTTCCTTCGTTCCTTGTGTAGTCATTGGCCTGCGGAGGAACCAATCCAGCCTGATTCTAGCCTACACGGACCTACATCTCTCTCCCACACCTTCCCATTCCTATGCCAGCAGCTTTAAGCCGCACTGTGTCTCAGGACTTTTCATTGAAATCTGCATTGCCCATAAAACAGATTCATTACTGCCCGTCGTGTCTGCATCATGCTGGGAAGACGATGAAGAACGATACAACCAGATGTGTTTGTCTGCGAAACGCTCCATGTTTTGTTGGTTTTCCTTCGTTTTGTTTTAGTGGGGTCGTTCCCAGTCAGCACTCTCTCTTTTTGACACATCTGTATACAAGTTGGAGACTTGCTTGAAGCAATGCGTGTTCGGCTACTAGACGTGCTACTTTAGGTGGATTATGAAGTGTTAAACCCTACTTCCAGAGTCCAGCAACCTACAACTACATTTGAAAAGATAAACCCACCACCCGCACACTAACACCTTGACACACATGCAAATGCACACACTTACACAAACACAGACACTGACACACATGCTCAAGATTCAATCTGTGTGCACACAATTGTTTAAAGCACCGCTCGTCTCACCGATTGATTTTCTTCCTGTCTTTCTCTCTGTTTCTTCTGTTCTTCCTCTCTGCCTGTAAAGGCGTCCCTCCCTCTGCATGTTCTAGTGGTTCAGATAGATGGGTGCATGGTAACCGCAGCAACTGAGTCGTAATCACACGGTCAAAATGTAGTTTTCATTTGACATTCAGCAATAAGTCCCCTTTTTTCATGTTCATTCTTGACTTGGAATATGCTAGAAATTTTTGCAAGTTTTCTCAAAAAATAATACTTGTAAAAAAATAAAATAAAATCAAACTACTTGTTCATATGGAAAAAATTTATCTTAATTCCTACCATTTTTAAAAAATGAATTCATCAGAATGTATGTCTGTTTCTTGGCATGATATATATGTCCTTATAATAAGAAAATGTTTTCAGGGGAACAGCAGTTTATTCTTTCTTTGACAGAACTTTGACAGAGTTGTATCAAGGATGCAACCAAATTTTCAATTTTAATGGGGACTGGAGGAAAAAACTTGACAACTAGCCACTGAAAAACGTATATTGATCAACAACTAATTTTAATATCAGACAGTATACATCTTCCTCTGTCTCTATGGTGGTTACAGGTCTGGATAATATCATGAGAAATCAACTTTTCCTTGATATTTAGAGATAAATGTGCTTGAAAAGTACTGTGAAGTCTTCAATCCGAAAAGAGCGTTTATTGAAACTAATTTGCAAAAAATGTTTGACATCAGATGAATGCATTGAACACATGCAAAGAGTACACTTACATAACGTTATGGGTAACACTTTACAATAAGGTCACATTAGGTAACATTAGTGCATTAACTAAAATTAACTATCAATGAGCAATACATTTGTTACAGTATTTATTAATATATTTAACATTCATTAACTTTATTGTTATGTTACCTCACTTCCATTATATAACGTTAACAGATACAACTTTTGATTTTAAAAATGTATTAGTAAATGTTGAAATTAACATTAACTAAGATTAATAAATGCTTTAGAAGTATTGTTAGTTCATGTTAAATAATGCAGTTAACTAGTGGTAACTAATATGACCTTATGACGGAAAAAAAGAAGTTAATATTTGCAACCATTTTAATTCTTTCAGCTGAACATTATTTCTTAATTGGATTTCGTTAGCAGACACAAGTAGTGGCTTTGGGAGTTATTTTAAAAAATGTGTAAAATTTTTTTTTCAACATTTAAAACATTAAATGATTTTCAAGTACAGTAGGTATAATCTTTTTCTTAAAATAATAGTACCATTTTTTATGTAGTAAAACAAAGATTATTTAAGTACGTTTTACAAGAAAACACTACTTTCTACTTCACAATTTAACATTTAATTCAATGTTACTTGCTGTTTCTTTGTAACTGTGAAAAAAAAAAAATTCAGTGTACTTTCAGTGCAACTTTCAGTAGTAAGATTATGGCTTAGATGTTAAAAACCATATAATGAAGCAAGAGAGAAACACAAAGTTCTGTTACTAACCCTAACTTAACCAGCTCGACTTGTCTGACCAAGACTCTGTCAAAGATTAGTTCTTCTAGTGGTGATAGAATCTTTAAAAATGCTTGGAATGGAACACATTTATCAACAAGCAACCTGAAGACAAAGAGTTTGTGGACGAGCTGCCTGGGGAGAAGATGAGAGCGTTTTAAACAGAAGGTCTGGTGAGCTCATATTAATATCATCACCACACTGATGAAATACTTGATTATATTCTAGATTCTAATCAACAGTGATGCTGATATTGCTTTGTAATGCTCCCTGAAGGGAGTAACTTGTTATCTGTGGGGCTTTCAAACGAAAATGCAGCACAGTGACAACTCACCATACTTGTTAAACAACAAGTCTAAGTGAATGAAACTACTAAATACAAAAGTGGATGTGGGTATATGTATACTGATAATAAATAGGGGACAACAGGGCTTAGTGTCACAAGTGGATGTTGTTATTTACCTCAAAAAGATTCTTAGGTCAAAAGATAGATTTTTATTTAATTTTAATATTTATTACATTTATTAAATTACCTTGTTTCCACCTGTTTTTATTATTACCTTTATTTAACCAGGAAAATGACTCACTGAGATTAAATAATATATACAGAATATCTATACAATATTCACTAGAGTAAAAAGTGTGACAACTAGCCCCGATCTCCTCTCTATTACGTCTTTCATCGCCAATGAGTATCGTGGGCGTGGCCTCAAGCGCGCACAGCACACCTGAATTTCCATTCACAACCGAAGTCATTTGAGCGCTCCACAGTGTACGAGCAACAGGTGAATGCGAGTTTACTTTAAAACAGATTTATATATTTTTTTATTTTGTAGCAAGACGTTTCCTCATATTCCATGTAACATCTTTGTCATTTAGCTTTCGCATAGGCCTACATTATGGGAATTATGTTGTAATTGACGCCAAATTCATCTCAAACTACATCACCAGGAAAACGTGGTAAGTTTAAAGCGATTTTAGTAGTTTAGTAATAGCAGTTTTCTTTTCATTTCGTTGTTGGAACAATAAAATAATCACAAAGAGAGAAAAATGATCATCTACACTTATTAGTACTCAACTTTTTCGAGTAGCACACGTGAGAAACTGTAGTCTCAGTTTACGAGTTGTTTCGTTAAAGTTTTTAATGAAAAGTTTTTTGTTTGTTTTATTTTTAATTTAATTATTTTTAAAACTTAAATAATAATAATAACGTTTATTATAAAAGTATTTAAGTAGTATATAGGTAACTGCATTTTATGGTAAATAATTTTATATCAAATCTTATGTAAATGTATATAATATAATAAGACATTACAAAAATAATATTCCCTTACAAAAACCTAGCATTCCATTTTAGTGGATACTAGGGTTACGATGGGGAATTTTTGAAAATTTTTGTTGATGTCTGAATAGTCTGCAATGCCTGTGTTGACATAGTCTAAGTGACTAAGAAAAAACATGTTTAAAAAAAATATTGATCTGTTTAACATTCTTAATCTTTCTTTCCTCAGTTTATGGCTTCATGTCTGTGTCGATACCGCCGGCGGATCCTGTTCTTCTGTTCGCCGTGCATATTGCTGCTCCCAGTCTACATATATGTCTCAATTGCTTTGTGCTATGTCATGAAACATGGGGCACCTGGTGCACATGTTGTTCATTCTGTGCTGCCGACACACTTTACTGCCAGCGGTCTCAAACACTCCAGAGATCTGGCTCCTCATCCTGCGAAATCCTTCTGGAGAAGCGAACTAGATGGTAGCGCTCTGTGGAACATCATCCAGTTCATGACGGATCGCCAGTATAACCCCATCCTAAGGCCTCATCTGGCTGCAAACGCATCCGGTGTTTCTTACAACACAGAAACGTCCAGAAGGACTGGGGTTGGATGTTCTCCAAATTATGAGATTAACAATATAATGCCAGATTACGCCAATCTACCAATCCAGATAAAGAATTTTGTGACCGCCATGCACTGTCGAGACTATCCGCTGCTCATAGATCCTTTAGATGTTTGTGATCCTCAAGCAAAGAAATGGGCACCAGTATTGCTCATGGCCATCAAAACTCAGTCTGCGAACTTTGATAACAGGGAAGCCATACGAGAAACTTGGGGGCGTTCAGGAAGAATAAAAACCAGAGGTCGACGGCAAAGGCTCGTTCGCAGGGTCTTCCTTCTGGGGAAGTCCAAAGACTTGCATATTGAAGAGAAATTGCATTTAGAGAGTGAAAAATATGGTGATATCATCCAGTGGGACTTTATGGACACCTTCTTCAACCTCACCTTGAAGGATGTGCTGTTCTGGGACTGGTTCTCAAGGCGTTGCCCACATGCCCATTTCATTTTTAAGGGTGATGATGATGTATTTGTGAGGACACCTGCTGTCCTAGACTATCTGCTGGCTGAAGCGGCAAACAGAAGCTTCTCACATGGATCCAGGCAGGCAAATAAAATGGAGACGTTTGTTGTGGGGGACGTGATAAGTAGTGCCACACCTATACGCTCTAATGGGACTAAGTACTACATCCCGGAGAGTTTCTATAAAGGGTGGTACCCGTCATACCCTGGTGGAGGAGGGGTGATTTACTCTGGTTCTCTGGCACATAGGCTTTTGGAGGTGTCACAGAAGGTTCATCTGTTCCCCATTGATGACGTCTACCTGGGTATGTGTCTTCAGAGACTGGGAGTTTACCCTATCCACCACCCTGCCTTCCTCACCTTTGACTTCCCCAAAGATGAGCCCAAGGAACCCTGTGCGAATCACACCATCCTGCTGGTGCACAAGCGAAGCCCTGCTGAGATGTTCCAACTGTGGACTGAAACGTCTACACCCAGCCCTGAATGCAGAAATACAATGCTGAGAGTCAAGCCTAGACCTGACTGAGATCAGCAGACTGAAATTTTTTTGTTGGTAAAGCAAGTTCTCATTCTTACTGAACACTTGAAAACTGATGTTATGCATTGTGAGGTATTTTGTATAAATTTTAGTTTGGAATATTTTTGACTTTCACATTTTGCTTCAATAACTGCCTAAAGGTTTTCTAAACAGGCTTTCTGCAGGTTTTATGATGGTAACTTTAAGACCATGTAAAGAAAATGTAAGGAATTAATTGAAGGGAACACAATGTCAATGTTTTCAAAATCCAAATGTCTAGGGAGCACACAGTGAGTTGTATTAACAACACTTGAACGTTTAAAAATACAGCTTTCAACAGATCTATACCTCTGCTCCCAACAACTAGAGTATTTAAATAGTCAGAACTTTTATGGTACCTGCAAAAAAGTGATGTTCTTCCTCAGTTTTATGTCTTGTTTAGAAGTACAAATGTCTAAAAATCTAAATCTTGTCTAAAATCTTGTTTTAAGCATTATCACACTTAATTTTGTTAGATCTGTCAGAAAAAAATGGCTTAATATCTTCATTTTGCATCGAAAGTAGAATAATCTTGATTTAAGTATGTTTAGATATTTGCACTGGCTTAAAAAAAGGTGTACAAAAGTGTACAAAAAGTTTATTACAACACCGTATTTACAAGAATTATAATATACAATGTTTCTTTTAATAAAACAAAATGAGTTCGAGACTTGAAACAAATGAAACAGGCAGAAACTTCTGAAAGCCATCACAGAGATATCATTCAATGCAATAATAGCTCAGTCTCAGGCACCAGTATAGTTTTCCAGGTTTTTAAGTCCAATTAAAGTTCATAGAAAACTGTTCTTGGTCATACTGTGGTGGAAGCATCTTCCAGTATCATGCAGTTTTTAATGCTCTTCTTTCATCATCATCTTCCTCCTCTTCATCATCACCACCATCATCATTGTCGCCCTCCTCATCTTCATCAGTCTCTTCCTCACTCTCACTGTAGAGAACAGTGGCACGATTGGTGTTTACAAAAAGATCGCTGTCATCATCCTCAGAGTCGCTGTCACCCTCCTCTTCCTCCTCTGTTTTTCTTACACTTCTTTCTTTCGGTGTTTCCTCATTCCTCTCACTGGATGTGCGATCCTCCTGGAATCCTTCTGGCCTGTGTGAAGTGTGAAAATGCTGTTTACTAAACACATTTCAGCTTTGTTTTCCTGAAAACAGGAATTTTAATTAAATAAGACCTTCAAAAATGCTTAATTTCTGCTATTCTATCTATGCATGCTTATATTATTTCATTTGTAGTTGTATATTACTTGCATTTAACATTGTGTTTTCCCCCTTTTCTCAAAACTGACCTGGCTACAACATATTTTATGCTGACAACCTTTTATTGCTGAGTAATACGCATCACTTCAGGACTAGGTTTAAAGAGATAGTTGACCCAAAAATGAAAATGTTGTCATTTAGTTGTTCCAAATGATATTTTGATATATATATTTTTTTTTATATATATTTTGAAGAATGTTGGTAACCAACACGTTTCTGGTCCCCATTGACTTCCACAGTATTTTTTCCATACTATGGAAGTCTATGGGGACCATCAACTGTACTTTTCAAATATATCTTCTTTTGTGTTCAAAAGAAGAAAGAAATTCATACAGGTTTGGAACAACTTGAGGGTGTCAGATATTCTATTCACATTTCAAAAAAGACATAATGGCCTTACCAGACACCAAGTTTTCTCAGGTACTGAATATGGTCCTTGTAAAGTATAAAGCTTATTTCTCCTTTCACCTTCCCTCCTTCTTTAATTGGATCAACAATGACAAAGTCTCCTAACAAACAGAAAGACCATGAAAACCTTTTAGTGTCTTCAAGAACAGACTCGTTATATATCCATGAAAGGTAAAACAAACTCACCTCGTTTGATCCAGATGTTCTTGCGGAATTTAGTAGGCATACTGACAAGGAAGCGCTCGCCACTGCCAGTCACAGCTTCATGCAAGTTATTGCCATTACTTCCTAAGACCTGTGATGTGAAGGAGGTATATAACTATTAGTAGCATGGTATAATGTGAATACCGAGTTCTCAAAGCCTTACAGATCCCAAACTCTGGTAAATGTACCGTCATGATATGCTGGTCTTCAGTGGGTGTGACACAGTCCTCCAGAACTTCTTTGACTACGTGCTTGCGTTTGGTTGCCTTTGACATGGTAGATATAAAACGATAATGTCACCTGAATAAAGAAAAATATTTAGTTTGAGAAATAGAGTTAAGAGGTGAGAATGTGGACTACAAAGAATAAAGCGGCTCTCGGGGCAACACAGTTACGCTTTGACATGCATCAACACACACATACAAACCCCATCGTGGCACCTTGCTAAAACACACATAACAACTAAACCCGTGGCCTGTATATCATGATCATTATAAATGCTATAAGGTAGTATATTCAAAAAGTCATTTGACATAGGCTATGATTACGTAAATGTACTGTTTACAATTTTAAAGCATGGCATAGAAACATGTGGCCTTCATGCTGTGTTGGTCTGGACAAATAAAAACCTTCGATGTCTAAATTTATTCAAATTGTAAAAGCGCACATTTTTCATAGTCACCTACCTAGAAACCGTATATGAAACTGGATGTACTCTGAGTTGATTTACTAATGGCATCGACGTGAATTGCTGGCGTTTACTCGAGTCTTATTCACAGAAGTGTGAAGCGAAACGCGAGACATGCAGCTGATTTTGAAGATAGCAAAATAAGAGCCACACGAACACAGTTGAGGGTGAGCGCGATTTGTGTATAACTTAACGGCCTGTAAATCTATAAATGAGTTGTTAAAACCATTTATTTAATAATAATAATAATAATAGGATATATTTCACAGAGTCCTAGGAAACTTTTATTTTGAAATGTAATTTTCACGGTTCACATTTATAAACACCCACAGCGAGCCAGGCTGATAAAACGCTTTGAAATATGTGATGAGAGAACCAGATAGACATTAAAATAATACGATAATCAGGGCGCAAATTTTCATTTGGATGCAGTGAACAGTCATCTTAAAGATGTGGAGATTGAAACCCCTCCGTCACAAAGCGAGTGGATCTGCCAATAATTTGGAGGAGTTCAAACACAAGAGAAGAGAGTTTGAGAAAGGTGTGTGTTTTACTCTTGTCTATATTATTTTACCCCTTTCATCTCTCAATCTATTTTACTGCTTTTGTGTACGTTTGTAATGTATTAATGTAGGCAAAATAATAGATATTATTTACGTATTCATCTACTCATAGCTCTTAGACAGGCACGGAGAGACAAACAGCTCATCAGTAAGAGACTCCTGCAGAGTGTGGATGTGGAAGAGAAGGAGAAGGGAGACTCCATGGAGACTGGCTCCACCCCTCTGTCACCTGAACAGGTCAGACTCCAGAGAGAAATGCTCAGGGGCCAGTTGCATAAACTTAGCTTGTATTTTAAAGGGGTCATATGATGCGATTTCAATTCACCTCGCTTTTTTAGAACGATGAGCTTTGTAAAAATCGGCGCGTTTCAGAAAGGCGGGGCATAGAGGAGAAACAATAATGTACAGTATGTGGAAAATAATGTGTTTTTTGAACCTTAAACCACATAAACACATTTCATTACACCAAATACACCAAATACTGTTCTTTTTAGCAGCATCATATGACCCCTTTAAGACTGTGTCTTAAGAGTGTGACCAACTAGCAGTTAGCAAAGGGGTAATCAGTCTTATTTTTGGATTCAACTTAGACTAATTTATGATTTAATGTAACTGAATGAAAAAAAAAATATGGCCAGTCTTAAAGAAAATTGTATGACTAACTTGTAAGACTAGTCTGCACCTTTTATGCAGCCAGCCCCAGGTTTATTTCTGTACTGTGTACTGGATGTATGGGGAAAGGAAGGATCTCATTCTCAGCAAACTACAAATATTGCTCATATGTCGTATGAAGCATGTGTGTTGTATGTATAACATCAGGTCAGAGAGATGATACGTGGAGTCCAGTCTGGGGGAGAGGAGAAAGCAGCTCATCTTGCATCTCTACGAAAAGCACTAAGAAACCCAGAGAGCCAACTCACTTTCATTAAGTAGGACTTCAATGCTAACACAGAGTTCACTTTATATTATTTGCTGCACTGCATCATCTTGTTTATACATCTTTTTTCTTCTCATTTGTTTTAAATTAATACATTTAGAATTAAATTTTTACAATTATTTACTTTTTATTGTTATTTTATTTCTTAATCATCTTTTATGAATTTCTTTTTTTTTTTACAATCGTTTTTATGTAAAGCACTATGAATTACCATTGGGTATGAAATGTGCTATGTAAATAAACTTGCATTGTGTTATTTTAGGAGGTCTACAAATTATATTTTCACTGTGTAGGGGTAAATTTCACAAAAAAAGTCATATTTCATCCCTAAATTAAACAGGAAAAATGTGCATGTTGCAAGCTTCTTTTAGGAACAGTAATTATTTATTTAATTTTTTTGCATTGTGCTTAATTGTCATGAATATAATATCACATTTGCACATTTTTCATTGAGATTGAATATAACAACGATATTTATAATCCTTATTAATTATCTTATATAGTAAAGATAATATAATATACTTATATATATATAATATATTATTATTTACTCTTATTGAATATTTATATATTATTTTAAATTCTAATAATATTTATATTTATGTATTTTAATCAAATAAATGCAGAGCATAAGACACTTCTTTCAAAAACATAAAAAAAACTTTATTAGATATATAAATAAGATACTGTATTTACTAATGCAGTGCCTGTGTTTTTCTTCAGATCAGAGAACAGCATGCACATGTTGATCGGACAGCTCAGCTCTCATAATGCTCAGTGCCAGCTGGAAGCGGCGCGCTGTCTGCATGAGCTGTCTCACTCTACTCACCCCAGTGTAGGTCAGGCCTGTCTGCCTGCCGGCCCGTACCTCCTCACTTACCTTTCCAGTCAGAGCACCAAGCTAACGGTCAGTGGGTTGCCACTTCCGTGTCAGAGGCATGCAATCGATCAGTCCTCATGAATTTGTCTCTTTTGTCTTTTCCTTTAGGAGCTTTGTTTATACACTCTGGGAAATCTGTGTCCTGACAGCGCTGTGGTGAGAGAGAAGCTTCTAGCTCAGGGAATAGTTTCTGCACTGGCAAACTGCATTCACGTAAGCTCATTTAGGTTACTAATAGTAAACGATTACTTTTGTTAACTCTTATAATCGACTATAAATCACTAATCATATACACTGATAATGGTATGTGTAGCGTCTCTGAATGCATTCTTACAGGCTCACAAAAA